GATCATGCCTCCCTTTCTTATGAGTTCAAGCCAGTAAGGAAGAGGCAGAGTGGAAATTTGATATTTGAAAGAATCTAGCCATTTATAACTTCAGTTATAATGCAAAATAAACCTAAACCAGAAATTTGATGTTTTACAATACTAGTAAAAACAATGTTTGACAATTTTTTTCCTGTTTAAAACAAACAGAAATCTTGTTTTTAAGCTTTGTTTTTCTGGCTTAACAAGATACACAAGTATACCCCAAGGGTATACTCAGGACTTCATAGTTTCTAGGATGGGGAGCATACTCTGCCAACCCAGCAACTAAGACTGCCTGCCAGAATGCAAAGCTTCATGGTGTAGGAGAGACTGCTTTACACACACAAGGGTAAAAAGCTGCTTTGCAGTCTACTGGAGGAGGTAAGCAGTTTTGTAACTTTTCATGGGGTAGGTGTGAGTTATCAGGAGAACCTCTACTTTAAAAAGTTCTATAAGCAGATGACACTACCTTGCTATATAGTATGTTTTAAAAGCATCAATACCAGAAATTGCCCTACTCCAGTGATAAAACAATTATAAATTGCAAAAGAACAGGGAAACCTCACGATTACCCCTCAAAATGAATTATCTCCAAAATAATTTACTGCATTTACTCTCCCCGAACTGCACTCAAAAACTTAAGACAGTATTTTTGCAAAGACTTGTTCTTGTCAATATCAAATTAAGAGATGTAAATAACCTATCCTGATTAACATTTATCTCCTTTAAAGAATAAATCAACAGTATAAACTCCTGCTCAGTGATTTAAGTATAGTTTCAAGTTCCTAAGATTCCCTCTGTTCATTAGCTGGAAATAATTTATTTTGGAAAAAGGTCCAAAAATAATTTATAGTTTTATTTATATTGACTAGGTATATTCATTCACATGATTCAAAATTCAAAAATTACAAAAGGTATACAATGAAGTCTCATCCCACCCTTGTCCTGCAGCCCTTTAGTTCCTCTTATTGGAGGCAACCAGTATTACAGGTTTCTTGTATATGCTTCTAGAGAGTCCTTCTACATGGAATCTATTGCATAAGTATTTTCCACGCCTTTGTTTTTACAAATAGTAGCATACTCTGCACATTATCATTGTAACTGCACTACATTTTTCTCACACAATATATAATAGTGATTGTTCCACTAATATGGAACATAAAGAACATCATCAATCATCTTTTACAGTGGCAGAGCAGTTCCCTGTATGGAGCTACCATAATTTATTTAACCTGTTACCATTAACGGACATTTAGGTATTTTTAATTTTTAGCTACTACAAACCAGCAGCATGGTAGCTCTAAAATAACAAAACAACAGCAACAAAAAACATACCTCAAACTACCAGCTAGGACTCTGACCCGGATCCATCATAGACTCAATGTCTGCCTCTTCCGATAAAGCTCTCAAAGATGGCTGCCTTAACTATACCAGTCGGTTGTCTTGGCTCAGTCTTGCCATTTGGTCATTTTTCATAAGCTTACTCATTTGGCTAATTAAATAATGTTTTGGGTTCTGTCTAATAAGTTATTTTAGTAAAATGAAAAATTGTCTGGTGGTTAAGTATATACCAACCTGTTATGTGAGACAAGCTGACCTGCAGATAATCCAAGGCCAGTGAATCGATTACTGCTTGTACATTGTGAGCTTCATCTTCTTGACTCCTAGGAATAGCTATGAGGTCTGTGGAAGAAAAGATACATAATTTTGCATCTATGAGGGTCCAAGTTTTCACCTATCTGTCTTGGGCCACGCTTTTGAGTAAGCTCAACTGCTACAAAAGTAAGCTCTGCCTAAACAGAACAGGCTTTTATAAAGTACAGATAAAGTTAATAGAGGCTGATTTCCACACAGTAGAATCTTTATTGGTTACATATTTATTGATTGAATATGGTTGAATAAACTTATGCTCTACATTAAGTACCATGCTAAAGGAAGATAAAGACATCCCTAAATTCAAGGAGATATATTACAATAATAAGGGAGGCAATACATGAGGTGAGATTAATCTATAACTGTGGGCTGCTTTCCATAAAAGGAAAAAACCAACAACAGGTGTGAAAAGAAAGTCATTATATGTCCTTTTAAAGGACCTTATTGAGAATTATTGGCAAAAAGGTTTAAAAAATCAGTATAGACCTGAGAGCAGAAAGATTTTTTAATATCAACTTAAATTTGGAGTTCCTCCTCTGGTGTTGAGAAGATGAATGTTTTTTGGGAAGGGTGAAAATGCATTTTAAAAGATTGGCCTAATAAGTACCCGTGTATGCCTCTGAACGCTAAAGAGGGTTGAGACTAGCATCAAAGATACCAGCTAGAGGCTATTCCATTATTCCAGGAAGTGAGGAGGGACTCAGGATAACAGTGGGAAAGGCAGAGAGACTAACAAAGAGCTTTAGTACTTAATGGTTGCAAACTATATAAAGAAATGAAGGCAATGGAGGAATCTATGGATAAGGACTCTGAGATATTTAACCAGGGATACAGTACAAACACCAATTCTTATCTATAATATTGGTTAAGCAATAGGCCCAGACAAGTTTCCAAGTTCCACTCAATTTTAGAACCTTTAGTCATGGAAAAAGTGTGACTTTCACAAGGCATTAAGCATGATTAGGTTAAACAGTGACAACCAAGACCAGTCAAACTGATTTGACCAAGACTGTTACTATGGGTGGGTCTCATAAGGTATTCATTAAGGTAATGAATGTAATAATTAGATAGAAATAAAATGCAAAGAGAGAACTCAAGATTTTATAAATACCATAGGATCTCACTTAAAGGCACTAGAAACTTCTGGCCTAAGATATAGACATTATTACTGCCACCTTTTAGCACCCTTACCTGGTACCTTTTCTCCTAAAATGGATTGATAAAGAGCAATAAAGACATTAGCATCACAATCTTCTAGTTCATGTATCCTCAGGTGTATGTGACATTTCAAAAGAAGGTTATTGGCAAGGGCTACCCACTCTGTTGGGAGAGAAAGGAAAAAGGTCAGCTTTAAATAGCACTAGAAAAAGTCATATACATACATTTTAAAAAAACACCCCTCACAAAAACAGATGTTGAATTCTGTAAAACATAAGGAATTTGACTTTTATAGAATTTCAAAGACCCTCCTAGCCATGATTTTTGAAAAGATGTAATTTCTTGGGATGACTTCGTCTGCTATAGTTTCAATACAGTAAAAAATGTAATGCAAATTTAAGTTTTACTGTTGCAACCTAAAATCTTGTTATTTACTGTAGTTATTTCACAAGCCATAGATAGGCATTTTTATTTAGAACGTATTTACAGGTAAATGGGAATACTGTGTCCCAAACAAGATAATCTGAGGCTACTAGAAACTACTAATAGATGTTGCTTCAAATTCCCAATAGCATTAGTCATGTTTTTACCCAATTATCTTATGCAAACAGAATTTTTCTGGTGCCCAAATAGGCGGTGATTAACTTAGGCTATTAAGAACTGGAGTAATGACACCAACCCTACTGCATTTGTGGGGTTTTTTTATATTTGACTATATGAAAGAAAATATGAAAAATCTATCTTAAAGTCCCTAAATTCAGAATTAGCACATTACCAATATTGTGTAAGTTTTCTGTGTTCAACCCCACCCCACCCCACCCCCATATATTGTTGGAATTATAAGTTATTTCAAGGGTTCCTCAACCAAAGGTAATTTAGAAAACTTTGAACATTTGTTCCCTGAAATGATTGTTGATTAAAGGTAAAGTTCCTTTATTCTGTATTCGATTGTCTTCAGTATGTTCTAGAAATGTGTGTGATGGTGTGTTCAAGGCACATTATCTCCCTCTTCCCAGAAAACAATCTGTGCATGTGTGTCTCTTAAAGGCACATTATCTCCCTCTCCTCCATGCCCATTTCTCACAGCTGACCAAGCCATGTCAACGAATTTGAACGCTGTTCTGGTGAAAAGGATGAAAGCGTCCTAGACAACCAAATCAATTCGCTTTTCAAAAGCGATGCTAGGCAAAGCCGGTAACTCCAGAGGGCACTGAAGAGAAAAATCCACTATTCTACTTTGGCAGGGGCATCAACAGCTCTTAAGAATGCCAGGCCTTCAAAGTTCAATACAGTTGCAAGTACGACGTCAGTCCCCACAATGCAAGAGTCAAGAGCACCTTGAAAGCGGCTAGAACCCCTGAGAAACACGAGTCCGGGGAAGAAGCTTTCTGACTGCCCTGTTTTGCAGCCAGGATGCAGGCATACTACAGGTTTCACCACAGGGACCTTCTCTCCCCTACCCCAGAATCGCGCTCGATGGCTTTGAAGCGGACAGAGAACTGGGCTAAGAGACTGTAGATAACCCGCTAACTACAACGGAGTGTCTGTCACGAGCCCCGCTGGCAGCCCAGACCTAGCTGAGGCCGGCCCCGCGGTCTCAAGATATAATAGTCAGGGGCGTTCGGTGACTTGCACCGCTTTAGTCCACACACACCGGGGTTCCAGGTCGAGACTCACCAGCCTCTGAGCTGGCCATGTCGCGGAAGCTGGTCGCCACCCGACTCCCACCTGGGCGCGCGGGGGACGGTGTCCTGAAAAGGCCGCAACAAGCGGACAAGCCCTGAGAGGAGGGGGAACGAAAAGAAAGTGCAGAGAAGGAGGAGTGAAAGAGGGAACGGCTTCTCGCTACTGATTGGTCATCAGAGGAGCACTTCCTTTCGCAACACGCGCTGAGGCGGCGGTTTGGGGGCTCTAGATACCATTCTTCTCCCGCAAGATCCTGCTAAGGGACTCTCAGGTGGGTGGGTTTGACAGTGCGGGTCACGCAGCAACCGGGGACCGCTCTCCCGGCGGCATTAGCGCAGCACTTCCGGTTAGCTTTTCGTTTTGTATTCCTCCGCCGACGCCAACAGAGGAAGTAGTGCGGTCCGCTCACCCGGTGGGCGGGGTCAGCCACGTGACAATGTCAGGGACCGCCTTCCCGTCTCGTAGGGTTCTGGGTGTGAAGGCTGTTTAGAGACGTAAACAACTAGCGGGCTGAGTGGGTTGCTCTGTGCTGGCCATTTTATAATCTGTGCTGGACCTGAAAAGGGCGGAGTAGCTCCCTTGAGGTGTGGAAAAACGAAAAAAAGGTGACTCAAGAGAGTGCAGGCTGAGGCATTCCGGTGGTGAGTGGGCCCAGCCATGAAAAGGGCAAAAAAACGGGCGACTCTGAGGGAGGGACAGTAGAGGGAGGGAAGAGAACATGGCGGCTTTCGGAACGTTTGCGGGCGTTGCGGCCTCTGCGCAGGGGCGGGGTGATTAGGTCATAGAGCGGCTCCCAGCATTCTCTGCGGCGGAGGAGGCGGTCCAGGCTATAAAACCGGCTGCCGGGACGCGGCCGGCACCTCATTCATTTCCATCGGTCTTCTGCCGAGCAGCTCCGGCTCCTGTCATCGCCGTCGCCGTCCTTCCGCCGCTGCCGCCCCCGCAAGGCTTTGGTCTCGCCGAAGCCACCTCCACAGCGACTCGTCGCACCCGATTCTCTCCACTTTCTTCCCCGCCAACCGCAATCATTGACGCCATGTCGGGCTATTCGAGTGACCGAGACCGCGGCCGGGATCGAGGGTGAGAGTGGGAACTGACCTGTCAGACCCGCGGGTGGGGGATGGGAGGCCAATGAAAATAACGAGGGGTGGGTGGCGATGAGAGTTAGGCTTTTTCAGTCCTTCTTTGGGCCTTCTCAAGGGAAGGTTTGCGCCATTTTGATATTTGTCCAAAACTGAGAGGTTTTCCTTTAGGAAAACGGCCCTCAGCCTCGCCTTTTGTTTGGGACGGGGCGTCGGGGCCTCGGCGACTAAGTCGTTGTGGCTAAAATTGAGCGTATTGTGAGGGGAGGAAAGCGCGACGCTTCGAGGCGAACGAAGTCGCCGCTGTGACGCGCAACCTTTCGGGAGGTGTTTTAGGGGCCTCCGGGATTTCTTTGGGAACCGAGAGGTCCGCCTCCAAAGCCATTGATGTGGCGGGGGCAGGAGGGTGTCCGGCGCTACGGTAATCGGCCATGTGGCTGAGCCGTAGGTACAAAATGCCGGCGTCGGACATGGCGGCGGCTCCTTTGTTACCCCGCCCGGCGGAGGAGCTCAAAATGGCAGCGTCGAGAAAATGTGGCGCAGAGAGAAATGCGAGACAAAGGGGGAAGCGCCGCCCCAGCGGGAACGCCGCCCGGCCGACTCCGCCCGGGCCGGGACTCCTCCCCTGGTAGCCGCCAGCTCCTCCTCTTTTTTTCTTGCGTTATATAATTTTGTTACCTTGATCGGAAGCGGTTCCGCCGATCCCACTTACTCAGTTGCCTTGCATAAGTGTCCCCGAGACCACCGCTCGCCTTGTGACGCTTTCACTGCCTGTGCTGCCCTGTTAGCTATTAAAACCAAAGCCCCGTGCTTGAAAACAGCTGGTAAATAACATCGCTGTTAAGCTCCTCCCTTCTTGTATTGTTTCTCTCCCAGACATTTAATTCCTAAGCTCGTGGGAAAGACTGGTAGCCAGAGCTGTTGTCTATCCTTGTAATCTGAGCTTTTGGCGTTGGGGCAGCCAATTTCCGACCTGATAAATCCTGGGCTGTTTTTTTGGTTCAGTAGCATGTACTTGGGACAACGGGAAATGAGAGGGTGCTAATTGTGGTTTGGAGAGAAGGATCATCACTAAGGGCAGTGCTAGATCTTATTACTCCAAAAGTCTTTCATCCATCTTTATTTAGCATGTACCAAGGGATAGCGAGTTAGTGTGTATATAAATTCATACATAGAGGTTTGAAAATGTAACTTTTTTCAATTGCAGGTTTGGTGCACCTCGATTTGGAGGAAGTAGGGCAGGGCCCCTATCAGGAAAGAAGTTTGGAAACCCTGGGGAGAAATTAGTTAAAAAGAAGTGGAATCTTGATGAGCTGCCAAAATTTGAGAAGAATTTTTATCAAGAACACCCTGATTTGGCTAGACGCACAGCGGTGAGTAATTTAATGTGACTTCATCAGGCTTAATTCAATGATTTCTAGTAAGTCAAAATCTGATCAGAAATGTCTTGAAAATGACCAAGTTGTGGGAAATCATGCTTTCTTACTTATTAGTTTGGGAAGAGGTGTTACTTGCTTTTGGAAACAGATGGCTCTGAATTTTTCTACTTCGTATATGGTTGAGTGTAACAATAGTATTTTTTGTGCCACGTAGGGTTTTTATGTGGATCCGGATTAAAAACAGCTATGTTAAAGTAATAAATTACAAGATTAGGGGCTTATTATTTAGTTGGAGGAGGTTGTCATAAGACTTACTAGATTATCTGTTTTGTAGCAAGAGGTGGAGACATACAGAAGAAGCAAGGAAGTTACAGTTAGAGGTCACAACTGCCCAAAGCCAGTTCTGAATTTTTATGAAGCAAACTTTCCTGGTAAGTACTAGTTTTGAATTTTGTCCCGTTTTTTTAAATTTCTTTCCTTGGCCTTACTGATTTTTCTAAATGTGTGTTGATAATTACAGCAAATGTCATGGATGTGATTGCAAGACAGAACTTTACTGAACCCACTGCTATTCAAGCTCAGGGATGGCCAGTTGCTCTAAGTGGATTGGACATGGTTGGAGTAGCACAGACTGGATCTGGGAAAACGTTGTCTGTAAGTTTGGAAGAACTTTTGAGATATTGTGATGTGCTACAGGAAATGGGTTAGGAATAAAATGAAACCAAAAGTATTGTAATGTAACTTCTGTTGTTTGCTCTCTTTTAAATAGTATTTGCTGCCTGCCATTGTCCACATCAATCATCAGCCATTCCTAGAGAGAGGCGATGGGCCTATTGTAAGTATATATGTGTGGTGTGTGTTTTTCTCGCTCTCAATTTTTAGAGATCTTTAGAACATAGCAGTAAAAGATAAAATTTGTGGTGGTTTTATGTAGACATTATCTTTCTTTTTTTGTTAGAAATTGCCGGAGTAGCAATAAATGAGTGGTTTATCCAGGATTCTGCTAGAGATGTTTCACTTTCTGTTCCTCTTTCCTTAGTGCTTGGTGCTGGCACCAACTCGGGAACTGGCTCAGCAGGTGCAGCAAGTAGCTGCTGAATACTGTAGGGCATGTCGGTTGAAGTCTACTTGCATCTATGGCGGTGCTCCCAAGGGACCACAGATACGTGATTTGGAGAGAGGTATGTAACAAAAAAAGATTGCTTGTCACCAATGGTACTAAAAAGTTCTAGATGTCTTAGTTACATTTATGTGTTTAATTGAAGGTGTGGAAATCTGTATTGCAACACCTGGAAGACTGATTGACTTTTTAGAGTGTGGGAAAACAAATCTGAGAAGAACCACCTACCTTGTCCTTGATGAAGCAGATAGAATGCTTGATATGGGCTTCGAGCCCCAAATAAGGAAGATTGTGGATCAGATAAGAGTAAGTGCTCTTAAATACGTTATTTCTTTAAACTTAGCTCTGAATTTATTCTTAGAATACAAGTTTTTAATCCAAAATTTTTTAGCCTGACAGGCAGACCTTAATGTGGAGTGCGACTTGGCCAAAAGAAGTAAGACAGCTTGCTGAAGATTTTCTGAAAGACTATATTCATATAAATATTGGTGCACTAGAACTGAGTGCAAACCACAATATTCTTCAGATTGTGGATGTGTGTCATGACGTTGAAAAGGATGAAAAGTAAGTTATATAAGTCTTACTATAAAAACAATTGCTATATAAATTCCTGTTTCATGGGTTATCTTAAAAGTGACTTTCAGTGGGGTGGAATCTGAATGTTGGTTTAAAAGTAGCCTGTCAATACTGAAATAGCCTGTCAATCCTGAAAATTCTTGATTTCTTCATTCAGATAATTATCACCGTATTTATAGTGTTCCTATAGGAAAAAGAACTCGTGTCCTATGGTTTATTTAAGGGCTAAAGGTCGAGTGGCTTGATTAGTGGTTAAGCAGGTGTTTCTGCTTTCTGGTCATGTACCTTGACCACATGTGTGATTGCACCATGGACTTTTAAAATTTTACCATTTTTTTTCTTTCAAGACTCATTCGTCTAATGGAAGAGATCATGAGTGAGAAGGAGAATAAAACCATCGTTTTTGTTGAAACCAAAAGAAGATGTGATGAACTAACTAGAAAAATGAGGAGAGACGGGTATGTTGGCTTCCGCCATTGAAGCAGGTGTATTAGAGCTGACTTTAAGAGAGGGGCAAACTTAGATCGGGAGGTGTGATGGATTTGAGTTTCATGGATGGGAATCATCTGGTAGTAGAGGTAAAACTAGATTAACATTTCAGGTGAAATTAAAAGGATCTGTGACCAAAAGATTTCAGTGCTAGACTAAAATCTGTCAGGTTTTAAATATGAATCTTACTAATGTAACTCTTTTCTAATTTAGGTGGCCTGCCATGGGTATCCATGGTGACAAAAGTCAACAGGAACGTGACTGGGTTCTAAATGGCAAGTATTTCAATTAAAGGTTAATCCCCCCCCAACCTACTATTTTAATTTTGTTCAGATTAGTGATCATATGTATGTCATCTTTTGCAGAATTCAAACATGGAAAAGCTCCTATTCTGATTGCTACAGATGTGGCTTCCAGAGGGCTAGGTTAGTACAAACTCGAATTCATGGCTTGGTTTTCCAGAAGATCTCCATATGACTTTTAAAGAAAGTTTATTGCTTTCTTTAACCTCTGCATTTTTTCTAAGTTTTTTTCATATAAAGGTGCAGTCTTTGTGGCAAGGCCTAGGCATGACAATCGGAGGACTCGAGGGGGATGGAGGACTAGTGATCGGCTGGCTGCTTCCAGTCGATTAGAGAGGTGAAAAACTGAAAGTGTGCCAGTAATCTTCAAAAGGCAGAACATACCATCTCTGCCCCGTAAACTGTTCTCTCCGAAGGGAAAAAAAGGAAGTTATCCTCACAGTTCACTGCCGTGGTATTTCTTCTGTCCCATGCTTTGCATGACTGCCATGGTACAGCATTGTTTCAAACTGTTGACTGTGATCTGTGGGTCTTTGAGTTTCAGTGAGTTTGCTGAAATGTCGAAGAAATATTTCCAAACATCAATGTTCAATGAAATTTTTGTTCAAGTTTGAAATGGAGAGAGCAGCTTTAAAAGGTACTAAGCTTTTTACAAATTGGTGAGTACTGGCACATGAGCTCTAGAGCAGGAGCAACTTCTCACACTTAGTCAGTGGGAAAAGCAATGCTTTGAAAGTTCCTCCCTCACCTACACAGTAGTCGTCATGTCGAGACCTGCCAGAGAGAGACACATTCTCAAGTGAATCCTGGCTTCTTGGAAGCGCTTGCCTAGACGAGACACAGTGCATAAAAACAACTTTTGGGGGACAGGTATGTTTTTCTTGCAGCTGCGGTTGTAAGGTCTTGGCAAGACAAGCAGTGTGGCCAGAATTTTGAACTTCTGATGAGTGTGTAATGCGAAGGACCATGTACATTTTTGTTTAAAGGTCCTCAAAATGAGCACATGAAGAGGTTGCTGTGAACCTTTAAGTGGCCCTACTGCACAGAAGCATTCAGATGTCACTTGATGATCTTTTAAGGGGATTTGCTGATTTGGGAACATGTTAGGGACTATAAGTCCTTTTGACAGGTTCTACGGGTGGGTAATGACATACAGATGACTTTTTTATTTTTCTCTCAACCTCAATGGTATTCCTACAGGGAATGGATAACCATTTTAACTGTATTTTTTGCAGCCCATACCTTCTTGGGAATACAATTGTCTAACTTTTTATTTTTGGTCTGGCTGTTGTGGTGTGCAAAACTCCGTACATTGCTATTTTGCCACACTGCAACACCTTACAGATGTGGAAGATGTGAAATTTGTCATCAATTATGACTACCCTAACTCCTCAGAGGATTATATTCATCGAATTGGAAGAACTGCTCGCAGTACCAAAACAGGCACAGCATACACTTTCTTTACACCTAATAACATAAAGCAAGTGAGCGACCTTATCTCTGTGCTTCGTGAAGCTAATCAAGCAATTAATCCCAAGTTGCTTCAGTTGGTCGAAGACAGAGGTTCAGGTAAGACCAATCTTCAATAAGAAATGTTGGTGGTTTGGGGTCACATAATTGTCTACAAACCCATTTAAATGGGATTGGCAGGTGAGTAAAACCTATGTGAAACTTGAGTTGAGAAAATTTCATACCTGTAAGTAAAAAAGCTGATTCCTTCTGTATTAGTAATGATTTGTGTCAGAAATAATCAATTCGCAATTGTTTTTCTTGACAGGTCGTTCCAGGGGTAGAGGAGGCATGAAGGATGACCGTCGAGACAGATACTCTGCAGGCAAAAGGGGTGGATTTAATACCTTTAGAGACAGGGAAAATTATGACAGAGGTTACTCTAGTCTGCTTAAGAGAGATTTTGGGGCAAAAACCCAGAATGGTGTTTACAGTGCTGCAAATTACACCAATGGGAGCTTTGGAAGTAATTTTGTGTCTGCTGGTATACAGACCAGTTTTAGGACTGGTAATCCAACAGGGACTTACCAGAATGGTTATGATAGCACTCAGCAATACGGAAGTAATGTTCCAAATATGCACAATGGTATGAACCAACAGGCATATGCATATCCTGCTACTGCAGCTGCGCCTATGATTGGTTATCCAATGCCAACAGGATATTCTCAATAAGACTGTAGAAGTATATGTAAATGTCTGTTTTTCATAATTGCTCTTTATATTGTGTGTTATCAGACAAGATAGTTATTTAAGAAACATGGGAAATGCAGAAATGACTGCAGTGCAGCAGTAATTATGGTGCACTTTTTTCGCTATTTAAGTTGGATATTTCTCTACATTCCTGAAACAATTTTTAGGTTTTTTTTGTACTAGAAAATGCAGGCAGTGTTTTCACAAAAGTAAATGTACAGTGATTTGAAATACAATAAATGAAGGCAATGCATGGCCTTCCAATAAAAAATATTTGAAGACTGAATTAAGTGGAAATTGTATTTTATTTTACATATACAATGTCATGTAAAAGTTTGCTTAGTTTTCTTTTTTAATCAAAAACTAAATTGCTCCTTTCCATTATTTAGTTTTGGGAAGTGGGGAGATCAGAAAGCCCATCTTACAGTGCCCTCTATAAATATTGCAAGAGTTAAATGAGATTGATTTAGGTAAACATAATTCTGGGCTAAATTGCGTAAAGGCTTTCTGTCATTACCTCCCAACATCAGGTGAGTTATTTAATAGTCAATTAGCAGAGTGGTGAGATGAGATACTAAAGTAGATAGAAAGCAATCAACTGTATAGCCCCACCTTCAAACTGGTTAGTGTGAGAACAACATGGATGACTGTTCCTTCTGCAAGATTTATGATTTGAAAAGCTTGAAATAACTTGCTTTTTCAAAATATATTTATGCTCTTGGCTCTATTGTGAATTACTGGAATGTTGAACAAAGCTAAGACTTGACACCTTTTATGATGAGGTTGGCAAGAGCTAAATTTGAATTTGTTTTCAGTGTTAGTGCAGGTTGGAAACAAATTAGCCTTCACAGGCACAGGCTTCCAGGGGCTCTTAATTGTAGTCACACTGGGGAGTCATTGAATGTCTTTCCAATAACCCAGGGAACTCGAGAGGACTTAAAACTATAAGGTCTGTTCATATTTAAACGAACACACAAAAAATTCTTACCAAAATTAATAGTTAACCAAGAGGAAGCAACATAACCAAAACCAGTGACTATAGTACAGGTCTGGTTAGGGTCAACATGGGTTTATTGCTAGAAAGATCCAGGGAGTAACTTCAGATTTAGTTTCTGCTCACCAACCTAATACTTTTATTTCAGTAATGGCTAGTAGGTCCCAGAGAATCTGGTGTATTCTTTTTGCCAGGAGAGGAGAGGTCTTCGTGAGACTTCATTTAAATTCTGGTTATTAAACTGAGGTTTTAAGTGGTGTTCATGCCTTATCTCTAAAATATAAAATTAGAATTTGTATGAGGGAATGAGGTTAATTTTAGGACTAATACATTGAAAACTGATTCAACCTTAACAGTTTTCTAAATAGCATGGTAGGTCAAATTAATGAAAACTTTCAGGATAGGTTGGCGTATTTATTACATATTTTACTGTTTTAATGTCTAACGTGGGCCTTTTAATTTGTAAACACTGAAATGTGGAAAACATTTACCTTTGAAGTTTTAAAAGACAGTCCACTTTTTAGCATGTGTGTTGTGTCCAGCCTGTGGTTGTCTTAATTAATAAATGTGATTTTACTCCCCATTCTCTCTCATTTATTTGCGTATAGGCCTGTTTTCTGGTGTTTCCTTAGTGTAGGAAACATGTTAACAGCCCCGTCTTGCAATTAATTGCTTTTCCAGCAGTGCTGTTGAAAATTTGTAGTTTGTATTTACAAACCTTCACACAAGTATGGTTTTCTGAGCTTGTCCAACCACACCTTCATGATAATTTTTACTCCTGTATTTAACTCAATTGCTAAGCTAAACTGCCCCTTCCTGATAGTCTAGTGGAATCGAGTAGCTTGTTCCTAATACACCTGGATTAATCTTTCAAGGTTTCCCAAACCACTTGCAGCGGTTCTCAACCTGTGGGTTGCGACCCCTTTGGGGGTCGAACGACCCTTTCTCAGGGGTCGCCCAAGACAATCTGAAAACAAAGATATTTACATTATGATTCATAACTAGCAAAATTGCAGAGTAGCAGCGAAAATTTTATGGTTGGGGGTCACCACAACATGAACTGCATTAGGAAGGTTGAGAACTGCTGACTTCAAGGGAAGCTAGAAGTAGGAATCGTGGGTTTGGGAATCAACTGTTTTCATCTGGATTGTACCACAATACGTGGGTAATTTTCTTAAGTGTTAAGTGGAGGTTGTAAACACGAAAGCCTGCTCGGTAATCACGGATTTTCGTTTAATGAAGTTTTTCATGTTTTGATGAACCCCTAGAAGGAGCCTCTGGTAGAACAACTTGTACACACTGGTTCTGTGTGTCCACATTCACCAGCGGGGCTTGAAAACATTCTGGGTCAGGTGCTACCGGCCGAGGACTCCCTCTGAGAGCCACTCCCGAGTGTAAAGGGAGGATACTCCTTCGCAGTTTCAGCCCCACCCAAACCCAAGAGAACTGCTTTGCGGGTAGGCACTCTAGTGGTGCATTTACTTAGTAGAGTCGCATCGAAGATCTGGGTGTTTAAACCACCATAAAGACTAAAGCTTTAAAAATGGGAATCAAAGTTTATTTTCGTTAATGCCTAAGATTGAGATGGTTTAAGTGGTGATTTGGAGGGCATGGAAGTATTTTGATGTCAGATTTGCAAGGGAAGGAAACTAATGTTGACTCAATGGCTATAGCACCATAGAGAAAGGTAGATGGGAATGACCTTCATCGGCGCTGATGACATAAATCGCTGGGAGACCGGTCTTCTCTGAGATGAGCAGGGGCACTACCCTTCAGTCCGCCATGGCAAGCGGGGGACGCCCGCGGCGGCCGCAGCCGGAACCAGTGACGCACTTCCGTGGGCGGGGCCGGTTGCGCAAAAACTCACTTCCGTCGCGCCTACGCAGTTGGTTCCGGGATTCTTAGCCGTGGCGGTTTGCTGGGACCACCAGCATATAGGCTACTGTGCTCTAACTCCCAAGGGAGATGCGCTCCGGTGCCACCGTCAAGGCCTGCCAGAAAGTTTGCAGGCGCCTGTTGTCTGAGTTTGGGGGTCGAGTAGATGGGGGCGAGGCAGCGCGGTTGATGGAAGGGAGTAGCGCCCTCGGAGGGTCCCTGAGGTCGCATGCGGAGCTCTCCCAGGGGAGCGAACCAAAAGAAGCCCTAGAGTCTGGTGAGGGCAGCGAAGCGCTGGTAGAAATCTGTCAGAGAAGACATTTTCTCAGTGGCACCAAGCGACATATTAGCCGAGATTCTCTCCTGACCGGGTGCCACTTCGGCTTTGGCCCCTTGGGCATAGAATTGCGGAAGAACCTAGCGGCACAATGGTGGTCCTCGGTGGTGGTGTTCAGGGAGCAGCAGGTCTTTCCGGTAGACGCCCTCCACCATGAACCAGGCCCTTCGCTGCCCGGGGACAGTGCCTTCAGGTTAGTTTCTGCAGAAACTCTACGCGAAATCTTGCAAGACAAAGAGCTGAGTAAGGAACAGCTAGTAGCCTTTCTTGAGAGCTTATTAAAAACTTCTGGGAAACTACGGGAGAACCTTCTTCACGGTATGCTTCACGATTTGATGCTTCAAAATAGGTTGTTGGGGTGGAAAGGCAGCCTCGGTCGGTGTCAAGAATTGCAACTGGCCCTTTATTCACGTGGAAAGGAAATGACCTGGTTCTCATCTTTTTGAAGCAGTTGGGTATATTGATGGTGCTTCTGCCTTGGAGAAAACTGGTCCATGGAATTGTTACTGTTCCTTAAAGAATCTGGCTGAAGGACCTGGTAACGCTCTCAATTTCACGGGGCAATCCTAGAATTTTAGAGGTCAGTTGAGCAGCACTAGAATTAGGACCTACATTAAGTTATGTAGTTGAATCATTTGTTCATCATTACTAAAATAAATACTTACACAGTCACAGTCACCCTTCAGTTTTACACACAATAGATTAAGCAAAGCTCATTTTTCTAGAGCAAAAAGAAAATACCCTTCCCCATTTATTTTATTTTTTTATTTTTAACTGAAAACTGATCTGCAATCTGTTTCAAGAGCCCTTTAGGTAATTTTTGAGTTCACAAAATAATAAGACTAATCAAGCTTTAGAAGTGATTCTTGAGTAAATACACAGCAACGTATAGGGGACCATTTGCCTTTAAAGTCAAACAGAAAATGATTGCAGAGATTCTGAAAAAGAAATTCAGGTTCTTTACAGTACAGACTTGGCTGCCACAGCATCTCTTTGCAAAGTGCTTTCCTTGCCATTTTTCATTAAGCAGTACTATAAAGTAATTTAAAATAACCAGTGTCCATGGTTCTCTGAAAGTTAGTATCTATATTGTAACTTTTAAAGATTTCCTTAAGAAAATAAAGCAAACTAAAATAAACTTGAAAAAATGCGACAATTTTGATTTGTACTACATAATTATTACATGATTTGACTTTGGGATAATTAAATCACTGCTCATAACCATGTTCTAAAACAAATCAATCTTCCTTATTAGCAAATGAAACTTAGCTCTCTTTGATATCCATTCATCAAAGCATCTATGGTGTGCCAGACATTTTCTTGCCTTTAGAAATCTTAAATCCATTTATCTTCAGAATCCTTTGATTGTCTAGTGTTTTTAGCTTAGAGTTACCCAGTTTGCCTTTTCTTTCTATTTCCAATGCTCTTGCTCTATTCTGTGTCTGAATTATAGTGGTAGCCACTAAAATTCTCAGCCATTATGTCTCCAAGTATAGTTACCACCCCATTCTTTTTCTTCTGCCCTTCTATGACTAATTACACGTATGTTAGATGTTTTTCCCATCTTGTAATTTTTCTTGAACAAAATCACATTTTAAAATCTATGTGTAATAGCTCAGATATATCTGTTTTTAGTGTCTTTTTCTTTGGGCTCTTGGTCATTTGAACATTCTGCATTTCTGATATTCTAGGTAATTTGTGTATAAATTGTAGAGATAAGTTGAGGCTTTGGGTTGTGTTTTCTTCCTCTTGGGAGGATTTACTTTCGCTTTTGGGCAGGCAGCTAAAGTGGGAGCATATCTTCTTAATACAATCCAGGATTGAGTTAATTGGAGGCTGGGCTTCAGTCTTTCCACTGCATGTCTTCCCCTAGAGTGTAGCCCTTTGAGTGTCCCTAGTGAAAGGATGGGTATTTTACCAGGGCCCCTTCTCCTTGATGAGCTAGGAACTACAATTTTTGTACTTCCCAATCTCATAAAATGTCAAGAAGCTCTGCTCAGCATTTCAGCATCTCAGCTCTGCTACTTGAGAATTGGAAAAGCATCATTAAATGTCAGGTTCACTTCTCTGCTCTTCCCTTTTCTCCAAATTTTGGACCCACAAGTCCTTACTGCCTTGATAGCTCTTCTATGTCTTTAAACAGATTTTTTTTTAAAGTTTCTTGACCAGCTTTTTGTTATCAACAAGCTAGTCTACTATTATCAGAAATGGAAATCTCAAATCAAGTAACTTTTGAACACAGTGGTGTCATTTCATGGAACATAATCTTTAATATAACTGGCATAGAGAACTACAAAGAAATCTTGAACTTAGATTTAAAGCAAATAGATGGAAAGACGATTAATGTTATTAGAAACCAAGATTTTTCACTATAATAGTACAGAGATACAAATAGAAAAGAAGAATAAACTTTGTAATATTACATTTGAATCGGCAATATCAACATGAACTCATGATTTTAAAAAATATCTATTTCCTAACTTTCTTCATGGAAAGGGTCTGGAAGCAATGACAATAGTAATTAGCACACCTTGTACCCAGATTTTGGTTTCAAAAATGAATCAGTGCTTGTAGAAATGGCTGCTTCCAGATCTGGGGCAGGGAAAGCCCAAGGTGAATTTGGGACATTTTATGGTGCTAGAAAGCAAAGAATTACTTGAAGACTAGTGGGGTCATGTCAAAAGGACACAGATGCTGGCTTCAAGAAGACTCCCACTGGCTCCATTTGGAACAAACTGAACATTAAAGTAAATCTTGATGGTAATGGGTCATAATACATTAAATAAAAAATTTAAACCATAGTGTTAATCAAAAAAATAAGTAATCGAGGCTGTTGTTGGAGGAAGAAGGTGAAGAAAGTTTATTTTTACAGAAGCTATGCAATAAATGTAGAAGGAAAGATTAGAAAAATCACCATGTTACAATTTTGCAATCCCCAAGGGCATAATAATTGATTCTAGCAAGGATCATCAGTGGATTCTAAAATACTGGGTGGAAGGTTGCTCAGGAGCATTCCACATTGTTGGGGAATGGGTTACCTTTATGAGGTAATCAAGTTTGTTTCATTGATAGTGGGATAATCTGATATTATGTTCCTCCTATTAGGATGCAATAAGATATAACATCAACTATGTAGTAGTTATTCCTGCTAAAAATGATTAACCCAAATTAAATCATAAGGAAGCAGTCAGACAAATCTCTGATGTGAGATAATCTACGACTGGCCTGGACTCATATCAAAAGTCAATGTCATTAAAAGCAAAGTTAGAAAGGAGTCAGGGGAAATGTTCTACATTTAAGAGAGTAGACACCCAATCAAAATACAGTGCATGAACCCTAATTAGGGAGAAAGAGAACAGCAATAAATGACATTTTGGGTGACAATTGGAGAAAATAGAATATGGACCATATGTTAGATGAAGTTATGGTATTATGGTTAATTTTATGGTGTAATAATGGTATACAGAGAATAGTTTTAGGAGATGTCTGCTGAAATGGTTTTTGGGGTGAACAAAAAGAAAATGTGGCAAAATGTTGACAATTGATGAATCTAAGTGAAAGGTTTACAGGTGTTTATTGTACTATTCTTTCAACTTTCTTGTGGATTTGAAAAATCTTCAAACTAAAAGGTTAGGGGAAAACTACCTAAAATTAAGTGGTGATTAAGATCTGCCTTAATATCTCCATGGTACTTGTACTGCTGTGTTGGCTTTATTATATTATTGATTTTTCTATAAGTTGGCCAAAATGATTTGGGTTTATAGAATAGATTTATACAATGATTGAGTTATCTTTTGACAGGTGCTTTGGAGCACTACGTCAATTGCCTGGATCTGGTAAACAAGAGGCTACCTTATGGCCTCGCTCAGATTGGAGTGTGTTTTCATCCTGTTTCTGATACTAAGCAGACATCTGATGGTGTGAAAAGGTACAGAAAAATGGCAAATAACGTGGCCTGGTATTTAAATAGTCAAGCACCAGTCATTTTCACTTTGAGACAGATTATATAATTTTTAAGTAAGTAACTGATATTTCTGATATCCAAAGAATTGGTGAGAAGACTGAAGCTTCACTGGTGTGGTTTACTTCAGCAAGAACTGCCAGCCAGTGGCTTGATTTCTGGTTACGCCATCGACTCCTGTGGTGGAGAAAGGTACTACAAAAATCACCCTTAATTTAATAGTTAATAAGTAAAATGTCTTAATGGGTCAAAGGTAATACTTACCTACAATAAATGAAATTTTGTTTGATGTAGCTATGTTATGAGAGGCAGCTATACTAAATCAACAAATACAAATAAAAAACTGTAATGATTTTTGTTGTTCCCATATAACAAAGTTACTTTGGTAAAGATATTTCTTGATACCTCTCTTGTTCAGAAGCCTTTGTTGATAAACCTTTACATTCAAGGTAAAGTTCAATTCCTTCACCTGACGTTCCTGGCTGGTGTAGAGTTTGACCCTTGCCCACTCTTACAGCTGTAACATTTGCTCCCTACCTCCATGAACTCTTTGTATTAGTCAAATGGTTCTGTAATTCGTAATCATGTTTTAGTATATGCTGAAGGGAAAAGAGTTGAAGTAAGCATTTTGTCTCTCCATTGTCTTGTCTTTCTCCAACTCTTAAAATCCCCAAATACCCTCCTTAACTAAGTTGAATAATCACAAATAATCATGCTCTTCACAAGGATAAAAATGATGAATATAGGATACTTTCTTCTTCATCCACTTAGTTCTTGGTTACCTACCTCTCTTACTAATTGACCGCAAAAAAGACCCTCGTTTTTCTTTAGTTTTTTTCAGGCTAAACAACAGTATTTTTAGCAATACACTCACTCATATTTAATTAAACTGTACAATTTTTATTTGGGACTTGACCATTTTCATTCAGTTGCTGCATAAAAAGTCTCAGACAACTTTTTAACAGTTATTTTAATAAGTTAATGAGACAAACTGTCTTTTCCAGTTTGCCGTGAGCCCATCCAACTTCAGCAGCAGTGATTGTCAGGATGAAGAAGGACGAAAAGGAAACAAACTTTACTACAATTTCCCCTGGGGAAAGGAGCCAATAGAAACTCTGTGGAATCTGGAAGATCGTGAACTTTTACACATGTATCCTGGAAATGTGTCTCAGTTACATGTATGTTTTACTTTGAGTTCCTATACATCCTTCACCCAGAATCTCTGATCATTTCTGAACCATTTGAAAATAAGCCGCAGACATGGTGCACCATGACCTCTTAATACTTCAGTATGTGTTTCTCAAGTGCAAGGACACTTACCTACATTACCACAATGCAACCATGAAAATCAGTAAAGTAATAGTAATCCATTATTACCATTCAATCCACAGAATGCTTCAAAGGTAATGGGTTATTCCCACATGCCCTTTATAGATCCAGGATCCAATCTAGGATCGCCTGTTTCATGTAATGCCATGTATCGTTGGTCTCCTTCAAATGAACAATTCCTTTTATCTTTTCTTGTCTTTCATGACCTTGACATTTTTGAAGTGTACAGGCGAGTTACTTGGTAGAATGTCCCTTGGTTTGAGTTTCATGTTTCCTCAGCCACAGAAATGGTGCTGCCCTCTTCTCAATGCATTGTATTAGGAGGCATATGATATAAATTTTACCTGTGATGTTAACTTTTATCACTTGGTTAAAATGGTGCTACCAGGTTTCTAAAATGTAAAATTGATAAATATTTTGTGTTTATTAATTAATGAGTAATTAATAAGTCTTTGTGGGCAGATACTTTAAGACTATATAAATAATTTGTTTCTCACCACATTTTGACCTACCGTTTGCAGCATCTATTGATGATTCTTGCCCAAATCAACTATTACCATGAACGTTGCCAAATGGTGATTTTAAAAAAAATTAATTTTATCGTTCCTTCTTGATTTATTGATCAGTTTGTATTCTGATTCTATAAGTAATTTTAAGAGAATTCTGCTAAATGATACTTTATTTTTGTTCTACTTTTCTGTGAAGGGCCGAGATGGACGAAAAAATGTGGTTCCTTCTGTTTTATCTATAAATGGAGATCTAGACCTAGGCATGCTGGCCTATCTCTACGATTCTTTCCAGCTAACGGAGAACTCCTTTACAAGAAAGAAAAATCTTCATAGAAAGGTAGGTGCTTTTGATATTTCCGTGATAGGCTTGGGAAACTAAAAATACGTTCCCCCCCCCCTTTTTAAACATTATTAGTGTGCTTGTTTTCTAACATAAACTCTGAAAAATAAATTTCTTTTAGTGCAAGTAATTTTAGTATCTTTCAGAATCTGGCCACATGAATAATAAGCAGGCTCTCAAGAATAGAGCAAGACATCCCTATTGGGTAATCCTAAAGGCATTTCTGTTTGATCATGGGGAGCTAGGCAGCTATTTCTGATTCTTAGCCTCTGAGCCTTTCAATTGATAGCTTCTATTTGCATCAGAAGCCGAATGTTAATTGGGTTTAAATAGGACAGACCAGCAAGATTTGTGGTATTGACCTCTCTGCTTTTGGTCTGACCCCAAGTGGCTGACCACTGGATCGGAGGAACGAGATATGGGCCTGGGTAGAGGGAAAGGCTTATTTGAGGAAAAAAAGTTTTTTGGAGGGGCTCAAAATCAAGAGAGAGGAGGGGTTGAAGCTGAAGGAGAGAAAAGAAATGAGTAATGGAATAAATTTTCGAGGAAACAGGAGGGATCAAGACAGAATCAAGAACACAGTGGAGGGATTTGTCGTGAAAAGGAGTTATTCGAAACAGCAGGGAGGAAAGAAATGATGTTATAGATATAAGTAGGCTACTGTGGCTGGTCAGCCTTTGAAGGAAGTTTTATTCATACCTGTGTTTTCTTAGGGAATTAGGCAAAATTATTAGCTTAAAATGTAGAGGAGTAAGGGTTTAAGTGGCAAGAGTTTAGAACAGCCATATTCCCCTTGAATGTAAAAGGGAGCTGCCCCAAATCCAAAGTTTTAACATGTTGAGTATTCAACAGGGTTTGGAAACCATGAGTTTGTAGCACCATTCTGCACAGTTAAGTGATTTATAATGCAGTGCTCATTTAGCCTGATATGGCCGTAGAGAAAGTCAGACTAATCAGAAAGTTCAGAAAGTCAGAACTGTTCTGGGAGTCGGGATTCATAGGGAGGGTGTGTGTAACAAACCAACAAGGGGGTCATTTCTTTGTCATACCCCACATCCAAACCATCACCAAACCTTTTTGACTCTAGCTTCAAAATATATCCTGAATCTGACCATTTCTTCCCACCTCTACTCCTCCCACTCTGATTAGGTTGGTGGTTAAGCCACCATCATTCCCACTTCCCCCACTGAGTGGTCCTTTTAAAGCAGCGGTTCTCAATCTTCCTAATGCCGCGACCCCTTAATACAGTTCCTCATGTTGTGGTGATCCCTAACCATAAAATTATTTTCGTTGCTACTCTATAACTGTAATTTTGCTACTGTTATGAATCATAATGTAAATATCTCTTTGTTTTCCAATGGTCTTAGGCGACCCCTGTGAAAGGGTCGTTCGACCTCCAAAGGGGTCGCGACCCACAGGTTGAGAACCGCTGTTTTAAAGGTACATGTTATTTTGCTCCTCTGCTTAAAACACTCCAGTAAGCTCCTCATCTCACTCAGAGGAAAAGCCAAAGCCCCTAAAATGTTTAACCAAACAAACCATTTCCGTTTTGACCTCCACCTACTTGCTGTACCTCACTCAGGCCCCTGCAGCAGCACGGACCTTGCTGTTTCTGGACCAGGCCAGGCACGCTCCTAGCTCCCAGCCTTGTCCTTGGCTCTCCGCTTTGCCTGGAGTGCTCTTCCTTCCCTGTCCACGTGCCTCGTTCCTCAGCCTCCTTTCAAGTCTTCACTCAAATGTCACGTCAGAGAGGAGACCTTCTCTTGCCATTAATTGAAAGCTGCAAACAGGCCTCCCCAACCCACCCCTTGCCAGCACTTCTTATCTCCCCCCACCTTTTTTTTTTAATTTTTTTTTAGTATTTACCAGTTTCAAATATATTCTTTACTTATTTATTTGTTAATATCTGTTTCTCCCCATCATGAGGGACAGTGATTTTTTTGTCCCCAGCACCTAGAGGTGTTTCTGACACCAAGGAGCCATTCAAATGTTGAATGGATGAATGAAAAGAGTGGTGGGTTTTGGTAAAAGGAAGTCCCAATGATAAGCCACCTGTCCCGCAGCTGGGTAGGGAGGGCAGTGATGCCAGGAAGGGGCATTGTGACTGAGGGGAAACGGAGTTGTCAGAAACTGGGAGAATATCAAGTGAACTTATTTCTGCAAAATATCTAAGTGAGGGCCGGCCGAGTGGCGCGATGGTTAAGAACTCGCTTGGGATGCCAGAGGGCCCAGGTTCGGATCCCACATATGAGGGCCAGTGACACTGCCC